ATTTGCATGACTGTGTGAAATTCTCTCGTATTTTCAATTGTATTCAAGAAATTCAATAAGGTAGAATTTGCATGACTGTGTGAAATTCTCTCGTATTTTGAATTGTGTTCAAGAAATTCAATAAGGTAGAATTTGCATGACTGTATGCGATTCTCTTGCATTGTGAAAAAACAATGGTACCTCAAGAGCCATCAAATTTTGAATAATAAAGCCTTCACCCGAACATGGGCAGACCAAATTTGGAATTTTTATGTTATCTATTTCATATTTCGGAAAACTTATTATTGAATTAATTATTGGTGAATATTTGATTAAAAAATTCAAATATTTCAAAGCGAGCAGTGGCAACATGATAAGGAAATAAACTTTCTCATCTCCAGCGCGGAAGACTGCCTTTCGGAATTTCTAAACATAAGCAGTTTTTAAATATTTTGTTATTTTGCCGTTGAATTGAATTTTATGTGGCGTAATCGTCATGAACGTGATATTTAATAGGTACAGTAAGCGCCAAAACGTTCATAATAGAAAGAAAAAAAGTTTTGTAAAGCCGTCTTAGTAAGAAAGTTGGACATTGATACGATAAGCTGGGAAAAGAGTGGAAAAAAAAGCAGAAAAATGCATGCCAACAACTAACTCTACTTAGGGAACACGAATCGTATACTGTTAGGCTTCTTCTAAATTTTAGGTAATTTTGCTGTTGAACTGTATATATAGTAAGTGTGAAGAAAATGATGCTTAATGATAAAGCTAAAAACAGGGGGGGGCGGAAACATAGCTTAGTAGGCGTACGTATGACAGCAGACTGGTAGGCTACTAGCTCAACGATTGCGTAAAAAAAATTAACCAACCCTTTTGGGCGAGCATTCGGTTTCTTTTATAAATTTAACTTGGTAATGAAGTTAGCACTTTTTGTAAATAATTTTTTTATATACTGAAAAATGGAAATGATATTTATTATAAATGATGAGTGATCTGCTATGTTTTTTGAAAACGGCTTTCTTGTGATTTCTCTCGGTTAATACACAAACATCCAAATCTGTTGCAAAAGAATCTTTCCACTAATGATTACGAAAAGCTGCTTTCGGTGTAGTCTCTGGAGCACACTGAGTCTGCTACTTGCATTATTTTCGATTTTATTCGATGGTACTTTCAGAGGTTTCCCCATGTGTAATCTATTTGTTGACTAATATATCTCAAAAAGAAACGTTCTGCTAAGTAGATAGCTCTCTCCAGTTTTTCCGTAGGTAGTTGTCTTCGTATTACCAACTTACTGTTAAAACCTTACCGGATGCAAAAGCAAAATCAAACTAAGTAGATTATTAGATGCATGTAACGAAACTTTAGTAGTAAAATTTATTCATTTTTTTTATTTAAATGTGAGAGATTTTATTTTTATTTTATTTAATTTTTAAATAAATACAGGGGGGCATAAAATAGCTTCTCCATTATATGAACCCTTAGCGGCCTATACGATCAATCAATCGAAATGAAATTTCAGATTTTGTTATTTGAAGGTCTGAGCTGAGATTGTGATGATTTAAAATAACAGAGCTGTCACGGTTGCAATGAAAAATCTTCAAAAGTTTCAAAAAGCAACAGCATTTATTTCCTTGCGTTTTGATCAGCGTACTGAGAAACCATAAATGGATTTGGAACGATACACTTATGAGGAAAATTCCTGGCGTAAAAGCTTTGCGAAGAGGAGAGGGGAAAATTATTGGAATTAAGGTTTTCAACGTGTACAGCGTTTCAAGATAGAGTCATCTTCTGTAATTTTGCAGTTTCTTGGCCACCGCGATCCCCCGACTTCGCTCCGATATGGATGTCTGGCTGTGGGGTTATCTGAAATATGAAGCATCTTTCAAACATATCATCTATAATATTTATAGCATCTTTCAGTTCTGACAAATCCAGGAGATTTGTCAGTATTGAAAGATGCTATAAGACGTGAAGTTATACAGATTTCTCCTGCGATGTTACGTTCGTCATTGTTGTCAACAGTCTCCTGCATGTAATGCGTTATTGTCCCGCCGATGTGCAGTTTGGAAAGTCGTAATTGCAGTAAAAGTTTTTTTTTTTTTTTTCTGTTTGTTCGCTTGTGTCATCAGTGGTTCTACGTTGCAAGTCTTTAACACCGACAACTTTCGCCGTACGTGTACCGTTCCAACGCCATTTATGGTTTTTCAATGCACTGATTAACTCGCGCAAGAAGCAAATGAGTATCGCGATAAGAAAATTGCGAAATATTTTCACTGTAACCGTAACCACGAGAGTTCTTTTGTTTTAAATCAACAGTCTCAGGCGCAGAACTTCAGATAATAGCATTTGAAATCTTATTTCAATTGTTTGAGTGCATAGTCTGCTAGGGATTCACATATCGAGCAAATTTTTTTATGACCATTCTGTAGACAGGAGGTGTGCCTTAGACGGTCTTAAAAATGCAAATATACATAAATTATGAAATGGTACTTACGTATTATCTCATCGATCTTGAAACTCTCGCCAAGCAACGCCATTTAACAGTGCGATGGATAGCGGGATGTAATAACACCTTCATAACATCTGCGTCTTCGTTTCATGCAACCCCAATTTTATTGAACTAGCACATGAATCAACTGTTACTACTTTAGGTTTTCTCTAGCAAATGAATATAAAATTAAAAAAAAACAAATCTAGGAACTTTCAGATTTTATATTACACCCAAAGGGGCATTTTTTAACGTTTTGTGTGTTATTAAATATTTTATTTAATATCATGTTATGAAATGTTTATAATATTTATTTATTAAATATCATGTTATTGGTACTTAAACCATAAAATTCAATTCAACAACAATATCGCAAAATAATATTAAAATGAGCAAAGATTTAGAATTTGCGATACACAGTCTCGCACACTGGAGATAATTTGTTTTCCCGTACAGTGTTGCCATTGTTAGCTCTGGGTTTCTTAATCAAAATCTCATAAATGTTTTACAAATATGAAACCGACAGTAAAGCAGATTCCAAATTTGTATTTCAGATGCACATATTCGGATGGAGACGTATGTTATTCAAAATTTAATGGCGCTAGGTACCGTTGTTTTATCACAATGCCAGAAATATACATACATTTATGCAGATTCTTTATTATTTAATTTCTTTAAATGTAATACAGGGCTCTAATAGTGGGTGGCAACATTTTGAAATGTGAACCGACATTTATAGTGAAACGACGCAAAATTCCAAAACGAAATTAATATCCCCTTCTGGGCACATTGCGAACTTGTAATTACTAACTTGTTTGTGCTGAAAAGGTTAAAACTTAGGATTTTACAGAACAATAAGTAATAAATTATTTTTTTAAATTACAGGATCCTACGGTTAGGGAAAATAAGTATTAATCGAAATCGTATGATCAATTGAATACGGCTGATAAAAGAGTTACAGATTGGAAGAATTACCTGCGGAACGTTTGTAATCAGTGAGTCCTAAACAAAGTTTTCGGTAAAATCAGAGGAGCTTACGAAACAGTCGAATTAACAAAAGCTTTTTTAATAAACGCAAAGAAGAAACAGGTCGAGTATTCAGTTATTATTAAAACAAAAGATATCAGTTCTTTCAGAATACCACAGAAACGAACAGTAAATATTTATTCGGATCTCCATCAACTTTTATGATTTGACGGAGCCAACTTTTACGGTCGGTGAAATAATACGTAATATAAAATTTAAAAAAAATGATGTGTACACCACATGACTTCCTTGTACGAAATATTAAATTATACGCATTTTTTCTTGCATTTTATTTAAACTTATTGGATTGAATTAAATGTGCTTCGTCGATAGCGCATAAACCACAATAGAATAAATGCACTCTTTAAAACTCACTCTATTTGTTTACCATAGCGACACTCTGGAGCTAGCCTCACTTAACAGCGTTATATTTCGTTTATATTATAGCTCAAAATGTACAAAATTTATATCATTTGAAGAATTATCCAATCGTTGCCACATGCTCTATTCAAATGCTATGATAAATATAGAACGATGTATAAAGGGAATTAAGCAAACAAAACAAAAAAGAAACAGTTTTTCAGAGACGATTCAGTATCTCTCATTACATTCATTCAATTAATTCAGGTCATAATTAATTCAAAAGTACTTAAAACTCAAAATATCTATATTAAAAATTACGAAGTAAATCTTAAACACTTATTCCCTCGAAACAATTCCAGAAAGGATTAAGCATGATTTAATTTTCAATAATAAATGAAGACGTTATCTTTGTTGTTGCGAAGCTTAGTCTGTCTAGATTGGCAACAAATCTACCAATTTGCAGTTTCAATTGTAAACAAATATGTCCGCCACGTTATTTAAAAATTTGGATTAACCGCACTTAAAACAGCTTTTAAATTGTTGATAATTGTACAAATATTGCTTGCAGATTTACTAAAGGCATAAAAACCTTCGCCGGAAGATAAGAACAACATAATTCAATGACTTTTGAAAGCAAAAAAATGCACAATTTACAAACGCATAAGAGTAAAGAAACTGATATCACTGAGCCGGGTAACAAATTGGATTTATATACATAAATATATTTACAAACGTTTGGTGCTGCCGATTGCAACCAAAAATACGATGTGCACATTTACATGTTATAGCAGTCCTATATACAAAATTTCAACTTTCTGAGGCTACTCGTTTTTGAGTTATGCGAGATACATACATACGTACGTACATACATACGTACAGACGCAACGAAAAATTGTCTTGAGAATTCATTTTAAAGCAATTTTATAATTTTTTTTTGGAGGAAAAGTGTCTTTTATTCTGTCCTTACGTACAGCTATCACGCAAAAACATCGTTAAATTGCATTCGATAGCGATGAAAATGGATATTTCGTTGAAATATGTATGCTGTCTGAAACATTTCGCGATTACAATACTTCCTTTTTACTTCGTACAAGGGAGTAATTACAGAAACTGACATTTGTTTTGTGTTTTCTCTCTGTTGCAGGCAAAGGATGCGGATGTGGGCTACAACAGTGCGATTCGTTATGAAATTATTCGCAAGCCCGAAGACGCGTCTGTGAAATTCCACATCGATCCAGTGTCCGGGGTTGTGAGATCTATGGTGACATTTGCCCTCGATGGTGGTCGCATCTACGGGTTTGATGTGAAGGCCACTGATAGAGAAGGCAGTGAAAATGGCCACTCGGCTGTAGCCAACGTTTTTGTAAGTATCGTTTTCATTTTTCCTTCTTCATGCTTAGCGAACGGGATTTTTAGTTTTAATTTTATTGCCAAATTATTGAAAATATGCGTAATAGAAATAAATGCTGAAAACTTGGGCGATGTGTTAAGGAAACAGCCGCAAATTTAAAATTATATAAAAAATATCTATTATTGCAAGAATTTGAAAAAAATGTTTTATCATCGTTCAACTAACAACAATGAATTATTTATGATTTAAACATTATAAAATAATATCTTCGACTTGGAGATTAAAAGGACTTTGCTGATGATTTGAAGTTTACGTACATAAAGGTGTAAATGCTAAAATCATATTTTAATAGAAGCAGCATTATATATTAACACGCAGAACTGAATGAATTCAAGAAGAAATATCTAAATGGTTTATTGCTTTTGAAAAGCATATTAGCCCGAATATAACATATTTAAAAGGAAAATGCCCTTCTGAAGAATAATACCAATCTTTTACAGTTTAATATTTGAAGAGTATGTTAAATCGGTTATTATTTATTCGTTAATTTTCAGAATTAAGCAAATCATATTTAATTAGCTTTCCTTGAGATATGGTGTTTTATAGAAATAACTTATATACCTCATATTCTCCCTTGTAAACCTCTTCAACAAAATGCCAGTTTGTTTCATCAAAACACTTTTGAAACGCTTTAAATAATTTGGAAACCATTGCTACGAATTTTGTTTGTAGATAAATGATTTCAGGACAATTGTATGTGAAATTGGTACATTTTTCTGTGTAATGTGACGTGAAACAAATTTTAAAGAAAGCTATGCTGGAAAAAAACGAATATAGGGGCAAGTCCGTTTAATATTGAGTGAATGAGAATCTCGGTAATTTGGCGAGATATCGCCAAGCTGACAACTTTGGCAACTTATTTTGTCGCCAATTTTGGCGAGAAACCGCCAAAAGTAGCCACGTTTGACGACATTTTGGTCCGGTTCCTGTATTACCGTAATATATATTGAAATTGAATAAATGTAATTGACCGCAAGCTGCAACGGTGATCCCACACTGTTATTGCTTTCCAGTAATTTCGAAAAGCAGAAAGTACTAGAAATATCTCGGCGGCCGGTATAAACTATAACAGTCTGGAGAGAGAGCATCTGAGTTCAGTTGCTTAGTTCTTGTTGCGAGTTGTAGTTCCGCGTGAACTGAGATGGGTCCGGGCTAGCTTTCTCTTAAGATGAGCTTTGCTTATTTGTATGGGTGACTCTCAGGCTGAAATGTGATGAATAACTCAGTTTTCAAAGGAACGAAAAATAAACCGATTATCTAAATTATCTTTTATGAAATTAAACAAGACTTTTGATCTTATCATATATATTATGTAGATCATCTCGCTTTGAAACTAAGTGCCTATCAATTTGTCACCTATCAATTTGAAGTTCATTGTGAAAGGTATGAAAATAAAATGAAATCATCTTTACGTTTTTGAAGCGTAATGGTAGAAGATCGTTTTGCAGTTTTAATTTTAATTCTTAATTTCTTTTTCAGGTTTACGTGTTGCCCGAAACAAAGCTGGTGCTTTTCGTCGCTGGTAGAACGCCATTAGCTATTGAACAGCACGTAGACAAGATTTTAAGGTAAACCTCCAATCACCTTTTGAAGTAATTGTTTTGATCAGTACCTAAAACTCAAATATAACGTACACTTAATTCTTTTAGATATATAAAATATGAATTTTTTGAATAATTAAAACCCTTTCTGAAGATGTCTTTCGTTCAAATTAAATGTTAACTAAAACAGGTTAAAAACTTTGGCAGATAAGTAATATTTGACATTCTAGAATATCGCATCCGAACAGTGAATTTTAATTCTCAACTTTTATCTATGCAGAAACTATAATAAGATTAACTATGAAAATATGGATTTATTCGCAAGTTTTTAGACTATCAAAGGCGATCGCCTTTGGTTCGATAACTAAAGTCTGAAAAGTGAGAGTCTTCTTATTTCATGAATCTGATTATGTTATTTATTTACGAGTTGTATATATACTTATGATAACTATGTTGCAATTAAATCAAAATGCATTATAAATATATATGTCTATGATAGTAAGTAAATTATTATTAAATCAGTAATCATTTTCATTATTCATCATATATCTTTTTCAAAATAGGAAATGAGCATAGACCGACATTTACAAAGTTTATAAAACACTTATAAGAAGGGAAAAGATTTTTTTCTAACTCAATAGACGAATTTCGTAATCAACTTATCGTACAGCACCATTTTTCACACTACGAGAATTTTCACTCGCAACACTTTTGATCAAGTCCTCCACGGGGTATTCTTTCCTTTCCGTGTAGTGCCTAATAGCGAATCTTGTAATAAAATATAATAAAATAAAAAATTTAAAAAATCTGAATGGTTTCAGATTTTAACGGTCGCCCAAAAGAAGTTTGTTAAGACTTTTAATGCTTTTGCTGAGCTCGCTGTTTACCATTCTGCTGTTACTCTCACTCCTAGTAACCCTATATGGTATTTCTCCTGCCTTCTTCGCATGCCTTCATGGTGTGGCGGTCTGCACGCTGGGCGCGTATTCCAGAGGTCCGTGGTTCAATTCCTGGCGAAGGCGTTGCATAATTTTTCATCTCTTCTGCTTCCAAAAAAAACCTAATGTCTCTACACTGGCGCCCGAACTAAAAAGGTATTTGATGATGATTCTCTTCACCCAGGATTTGGCGATTGGGTCCCCTAAAAACCCCAGTCACCTTAAAAAGGGGGAGTATATAATGTATTTCTCCCGCCTTCTTGGTGTGGTGGTCTGCACGCTGGCAGCGCATTCGAGGTCCGTGGTTCGATTCCTGGCGAAGACGTTGCTAATTTTTGAATCTCTTTTGCTTCCAAGAAATCCTAATGTCTCTACAACCCATTTTTTTTCTCTTTTTAGCTTTATTTTTAAGCATCATTTTCTTCGCACTTAACGCCATATGCAATTCAACAGCAAAATTACAAACATTTTAAAAGCAGCTACGTTTATAATTCCCGATGTAGAGTTAAGTGTTGGATACATTTTATTCTTTTTGTTTTCAATTTTTTTCTCAGGTTATCCTACCAGTGTTTAGTTTTCTTACTAAAATGGCTTTAGCGCTGAAGATAAAAGTGTTTTTTTTTTAGTACAATGTTGCCACTGCTCGCTTTGAAATCCTTTGTTAATTAAAAAATTCGTTAAATTTTTACAAAATAGGAAATATATTATAAAAAAATTCGAAATTCAAAATTCGGGCTTATTTGCACCCATGTTCGAGTGGAGGACTACGTTATTAAAAATATTGATGGCTCTAAGAACCGTTGTATTTTCACAAAGGGAGAAACGTACACATATTCGTACAGATTCTCCATTATTAAATTTTTTATGAATTTTATGAATATTATTTAAAACATAATATAGGGCGGTAATATTTGGTGGCAACAATTTGAAAAGTGATACCCCGTTTATAGTGATTAAACGCAGAATACCGTTTCGAGACTAATATTCCTTTCGGGACTAACGTTCGTTTTGAGTTAATAAAATAAAAACAGCCTCTTTTATCAGACGGAATATTCCGCGATTCCATTATTCTGTTTTCATCTGTTTTCAATAACACCTTTCTTGTGTAAAAGCGTAATTTTTTTTCTAAAATTGACAGTGCGTGATTCCCATTATTTATGAAGCTTCTTAAAATGTGAACTAATTTTTTATCGAAACAAATAACATCTCCATAACCAAAAGCTACAGACTAAATAAGCAGGCGACGTAAGATAGTTGAAAACATATGAGCAAGAACAAAGAAATTTATAACACTTTCTTATAGACGAGCACATTAAATACTTATTTATTCATAAAAAATAATATTTTGTACTGCTTCATTGAAAAAAAATTTACTGAGCTCCCTTGTGGGTCGCAACATTTATTTCGAAAACTCCTGCCGCAGAGGAACTCTTTAAAAAAGCTTTGATATCTGAGGACGTCGTTGCTTTAGACTCCTTATGACTCCGCTACTTAGCGATCTGAAAAACTCTATATACAATAATCCAATAATTGTTTTCAATGATTGTCATCTGAGTGGAGACTTCATCTATGTTTGCTTTAGCCAACTTATTAGTTTATTTCTTTTGTGTGTATGCAACAGACACATGGGACTTAAAGCAAAACCACACCTTCTCACATGGGACTTAAAGCAAAACCAATAGAACAGATGAAAGAAATTTCGTTTTTCTTTCTTTTTATATGTCTTTTTGTCTTTTCATTTTTTGAAAATCTTATACAGTTAGAAACTAATATTTTTAACAAAAAATTATCGTTTTATACGTTAGGTGCGCTAAATGACATTTCTTGTTCATTTTAACAACTTAAAGTTTAAAAGAATGCTTTTAGCCAATCTTTCTTGGAAACCGTGTTCGCTTAGTTCTTTCCTTTATTATGATATCAAAATATTAGTATGGCCAGTATTAAAATTTGGTCTGGAGAATCGGCTTAGGTGAAAATGTGATATAGAATTTTTACTACAAACTGGAGCTGTAGATTTTTTATAAGTCAATCAGCATCTTTCTACTACTGACAGCAACTTGAATAACCAAAATCCCATAGAATCCCAAAGGTTTAGGTAATCATACTGTAGAATCGGTACTTACTGTCTAGGAATATGATGTCTGTAAACTTACTTCTTTTGTGGCTGTCTAGGGGTTAATAAAATAGTCCGATTTATGAAAAACTCGATAATTTAATGAAACATGAATAGTTGCTACAAACTACAAAATGATTATATGTGTAGAAGGATGTATTTACATAGATGATATTTACAGAGTGAAGAAATCGACCGTCTTTTACATGTAAACACCTTTCAATCGCATCATCGTCTTAATGGCGAAATCGTCTGACTTCTATCATCGGAAAAGTAAAAGATTTATTCTCACAGCTGGTCGCGTCATCCGATTATAATGAACGATGCCATCCCACAATACTATAGTGTGCAAATCAATTGGGCCAAAGAGATTTTTACACAAAATTTTAAGTTTCTTGCAGGCCATCAAAGAAGTTTTATCTGCAATTTTTATATCTGGATATCTTCTTTTGACTGCTTAGAACGGGTTTAAAAAATAATGTAGGATTATTGCAAGATTTTTTAGCTTGTTTCTTTGAGAAGTGGAAGCTACCTTTGCGTATCTTTTAAATACATTTTGCAATTGTTCATTTTAGCGTACTAAAATGGATATAACGTCTCGACAAGAGAGTTTAAAAATTAATAATCACTCACCCATGACTGTAACACACATTGCTTCCGCAGCTGGTATTGGAAAATCGAACGTGTCTCGAATTCTAAGGGGACACAATGAAACTGGATTATTTTATCTAGAAAGGAAAGGCAAATATAGAAGAAAAAAGAAAACAACTACAAAATCTGATCGACTTATTTTCCGAGATGGCATTATTAATACAAAAAAGATTGAAAAGACATTAAAAGAGAACCTATTATGTATTGGTGCTGATATTCATCCTTCAAGCTTGGAGCTTAGATTTCCCGCTGCTGGTTGGATAGGTGAGAGAGCTTATTAAAAACAATTTTTGACCCGGCAAATGAACCAAAGCGTTTATTTTGGCTTAAAAATTACAAATTTTGAACCAACAATGTCTGGTAAAGGTCATTTTTCAGCGATAAGAATCCTTTAGCTTACACCTCTGAGGTGTCCGCCGATAACATCGCGGACGAAAACGTCGCGGAGAAAACAATGTAAGGCGAAAACGTCGTGCTACAAAACATCGTGGGAGAAAACATCGCAGTTCTAAAACATCGTGGTACAAAACATCGTCGTCGAAAATAAAGCGGTTCAAAAATTTCGCAGTTTAGAAACATCGTCGTCGAAAATATCGTGGTAAAAAATAAAGTATCTACAAATCATCGCATGACGATAACATAGCATACCTGCTTTTTTCAGGTTTTAATAAATGTAAATGGATATTCCCATAATGATTTGTGAGCGCAAGATGTAAAGAAAGATAATTTTCAATTGCACATTTTTTATTAACTAATAAATTTTTGTTGAAAAAGTAAGAAGGAAGCTTAAGCATAGAAAATTAAATGCAAATTATAGGTTATACCTTTCATGAAAAATTCCCATTAAAAAGTTTATAAAAATGATTTATTAATGGCCTTTGCTAGTTAACTATGTCGGTTTAGAATTCTATTAAGTGCTATAAGTTGCATTAATTTTCTATGCTTAAGTTTCCTTCTTATTTTCTCAGCAAAAATTTATTAGTTAATAAAAAATATGGAGGTAAAAATTATCCTTCTTTCCATCTTGCGCTCACAAATCATTATGGGAATACCCATTTACAGTTATTAAAGCATGTCTGAAAAAAGCATGTCTGCGATGTTATCGTCATGCGATGATTTGTAGATACTTTATTTTTTACCACGATATTTACGATGACGATGCTTTTAAACTGCGAAGTTTTTGAACCGCTTTATTTTCGACGACGATGTTTTGTACCACGATGTTTTAGGACTGCGATATTTTCTCTTTGCGATGTTTTCTCCCACGATGTTTTGCAGCACGACGTTTTCGCCTTGCGTTGTTTTCTCCGCGACGTTTTCGTCCGCGAAAAACCTATCATTAAGATCCGTAAAATACCCTCAAAAGCAAATGTTTTGGGGTTTTTTTTCACTGCAAATGGCACCCAAAATCTAGTTCCTATTGATGGAATGATAAATTCGAGAAAGCATATAGAAATTTTAAAACATAGGATTATGCCATTCTCGAAAACTTTTGCAGGAACATTTCAGCATGATTTGGCTCCGTGCCGCAATTCAAAATCCATCAGAAGGTTCATGCTGAGAAATAAAATTATTGTGTTAGCTTGGCCAGGAAATTTGCCATACTCAAATCTGACGGAAGCCTTGTGACACATTCTTAAGGAAAATCTTAGCAAAATGGATTGTACGAAAAAAGAGCGCGTCATTAAGGAATGCTTTAAAAATACGGTTCAATGATAAAGAAGTAAAACATATGCTCACAAGACTAGCAAAGCCAGTGCCTAAGCGCATTATTAAGGTCATCTGTGGACATATTTCCTGTTAATTTTATTATTATCACTGTATGTGAAGGTATGCACATAAATTATAAAAATAATCGCTTTGTTCCCATTAATTTGAGCGCTATAATACTTTATGGAAAACTTCCTGTGGATCATGTTATTAAGTCCAAAGGGACAATTAGCAATGAAGAACTATTAATTTCGTTTTGACATTTTGCGTTGAAAACTTTAAAAGGCTGTATTACGTTTCAAATCGTTGCCACCAATTATTATCGCCCTGTCTTACATTTAAAGAAATTAAATAATGAAGAATCTGTATAAATGTATGTATATTTCTCTCACTGTGATAAAACAACGGTACCTGGAGCCATCAAAATTCGAAAAACGTAATCTTCCGTAGAATATGGGTATGTGGGAGCCCTAATTTGAATTTGAAATTTGTTTTTTTATCAATTTCAGATTTTGTAACGCTTCAACAAATTTTTGATTAAAAAACTCAACGATTTAAAAGAGAGCAATGACAACACTGTAGGGAAAAAAATTATCCCCAACGTGCGAGACTTTTTATCGGAAATTTTATAGATATGCTCAGTTTAAAATTAATTTGCTATATTGCTGTTGAACTGAATTTTATGGTTTGAGTACGTTGATCATGATATTTAATAAATAAAGGTAACACACAAAACGGTAAAAAAACGCCCGTTTGAACGTAATTTAAAATCTGAAACCTTTTGCATTTTTTTATGCTTTTTTTTTTCTTTCTTAATTTCTTTCTTTTTAAAATTTTTTTAAAATAAGCATAGAATATATAGTTGTAATTAACTTACACTTACTATATCACAAAATGTTGTCGATTATAGATAGCAATCATGCATTCCTGATAATAATAATCCAATATATGATAGATGAATTCTAATTCCAAGAGAAATGCTTTTTGCTTCATTTCATGTTCGCCATAATAATTTTCTCTGCTTATTCTTTCTGTTTGTTTCGTAATATAACAGCACAGTGATTTCATTTTCTTCTGTTATTGTTATCAAAATGAAGCGAAAAATCAACTGCCTTTCCGTTTTAAAACGTTTGCTATATTTCTTGCAGTGATTGTTACAGTTACGGGCGATTCAAAGCGCGTAGACATATTGAAACCTTTCTATCTTTCCTCTCCTATTTTTTGCTTCTGATAGCACTTACGGGTGGCTCTCTAGATAAGCTTATGGAAGGATGATAATTGCATTCTGAGTTCAGTTCTTGTATCCAGGGATGATTTTATGTTTTCCTGTGAGTAACATACATATGAGTTGCAAAGAATAAAATCTTCTGCACAGCTATTTCTATCAAAGAAAATTTCCTTAGACTGTTTTGCCGTAATAAATTAACCTTACGTTCAATAGTAGCTTTAATGGATCGAGGCTCTACAATAGGAAAGGTTATTTTCATGAAGGATAGCATTAGATTTAAAACGCTTATTGTAACAAAATACTTCACTGTGTGCAAAACATATCAGTGATATTTAAATTAGTTGTCAATATTTTAGCATATCTCAACAACTTCATGTGATTCTCTTCTCTCTCTCTTCTTTCATACATGACGTCAGTGTTCTCAAATAGACGGCTGTACCTCTTATTATTCAATCTTCTTTTACACTCAAAATACAATTCTAAATTGCCCTGATCTTTTAATTAACTTGAAAGTGATTTCAGATTGATAGACTATTTCCAAACAAAATAGAAGATTGAGGCACCGGAAAGAGTTTTATTATGTTGAAAATCAAATGCCATTTGATATTGTGACCTTGATATTATACTCGTACAGAGGGTGCTTACACATTTTTAAAACGATTTCAATAAAGAATTTTTTTAAAAACCAAATATTTTGGAATACATTTTTGAAGACAGCTTCGGAATGAGAAATATAATTTTCTATTTTTCAATAGCTTCTTTCAAAACTTCGTATGTAAAGAAGTTGTGGATTGAAGATTGATTCATTTTTTTTGCACATTTCTGAACAGAAATATATCTATTTCGTATTTCAAAAGCGTTGTGAAATGCAGGGTATTAAAATTTCTAATTGAAAAATAAGCAACATTAGATATCGAAAAGGGAAAAACTGTCAGTTATTACTTTTATGTGAAATGAACACTTCAAACGAATACCTTAAAAAGATAGTTACCATTTCTAATGTTTCTGAAGTAAAATCGATGTTAACAAGAGAAAATACGCCGACCCAGAAACCATTTGCAAAGTCTTTAAATATACCTCTAGCAACAATGAATAAGATACTAAACAAGATACAAACAACTTAAAAAAAATAAAAAAGCATCATGTTCATCAGCTTGTATCACCGTAGAACAATTTGTGAAATACTGTGTGGAAACTATTTAGCAATAGATGAGTGGAAATATATTGTGACACTTGGATAAAGCATGGGTTATCTAGGAACTGCAACGAAAAAGGTCTGCTTGCTATAGAAAATAAAGAGAAAAACGGTATTTACCTGATTCCCTCAATGCAAAGAAAGTTACAGTAAGGGGTTTATGATTGTCGAAGAATTCTCTTACAACGGTAAATTAAAAATAAGAATAGTGGAAAAAATATTAAAATCACCTCAACGTGAAGAGAAAGTTTTACGGCCCAAATTCCACTTTTTTATCCTAATGGCTTCCAAAGAGTGAAACTTCATCAAGACAAATCAACAGGTCATGTTTCGAAAACTATCGCTACATTCTATGAAAAAAGGAAGAGTGATGCAGGTATTGCATATATATGTGTGTGTGTGTGTGTTGTGTGTGTAATATTGTGGCAGTCGGGCACATGAGTGAAACTTGGCAATCTGGTCACATCACGGACATTCTTGTGGCTGAGCGTAAGGCGGCATCCAATGACGACGCAGAAGGATTTAAATTTATAGCTCCATATCTTTATTCAATTTAAACGGCAGATCATTACACTTTACTAAATAATAGTAACTTTAAATTCACTGCGTCACAGTATTCGAATAAAGGGAGGCAGATGAGAAGAGCGGCAGCATAGATCTTAACAGCAGTAGAGGGAGAAAGCGATCTCTTCTGACGCAAAATGGCGCAAATTCTTCAATTATAGAAACGGTTACGTAATATGCTCGAATGTTCTCGAAAGAACTGGTCTAGGGGGAAGATCTTGAAATTCCGGAAAGTTAATTAGAGGTTGCTTGTTCGCATAGTGCAAAGCCATGGTATTTTTTATATTTTATATATATATTTATAAATATATATACATATAAAGTATTCCTGCAAAGTCCCCGGATGTTGCACCGATGACCTATTGTGCCTTTGGAAGTCCCCCAAAAAGGTTTTTCCAAGCTCAACGGTTGATGAACTGTGGAAAGTAATGGAAGAGGAATGAAAATCAATTCGCCTGGAAATTTTACGAAAGGCACTGCTGTCATAGAAATCATGGTGAAAGGCTATGAGATGGAACATTTATAAACGATACTCTTTACATTTTAAACATTAATTAAACGGCCTTGAAAGCGTTATAAAAATGCATAAACACCCTCTGTGCGATAGTGTTTAGTCTGTGTGATAGCTTAGATTTTTATTTTCTAGTACTAATAATTATATTTTATATGTACTGGTAATTTAATTTCTGCATAGTTCTTTTAGTTAGGTTTATGAATAATATTTCAGCAGTATGTTTTGCATTATTTAAAGCATTTCAAGCGGTATCCCTGAAGCTGTAAAACTATTATTAAAATTCATTTTAACTTATGTCTCACAGGGGTACGCTTAAGAAAGTTGCCCTGAAACATTTTGTTGTTGAAAATAAACAAAATTATTACGTAGAGTTTTAGAAATAAGCCGAGTTCACTCTTTTATCTAATGTCCTGATTTTTACTTATAGTTACTTAAGTAACCTGACCGGATATGACGTCAAAATGGCCAAACTGGAACCTCATCATGATGGAGAATACGAAGACAGAGAAAGGTAAGACGCGAACTATAATCTGCACATTAAAGAAACTGTCTGCAGTTTGCTTGCTAAGCATGTGTATTAGAACAGCTAAATATGTACAATATGTACGATATTAAAAATACCTCAGATTTTTAAATGCTTGTGATGCAAATTATATTAGATTGTCAGGAATGAATTTTTGTATGCATATTTTACAGATTAAGTTGTAGTTGATCTAAATTAAAAATTTATTTCCTTTATTCGAATAGAGAATATTTGTTAAATTCAAATTATTTATAAGTAATGTTATACCTAATGCATTTTATAATATTAAGCTTCTGATATGACATCATTCTGAATCTTTTTAAACTATTTTTACTTCCTTGTACGAAGAAAAGGAAGTATTGTAATCGCGAAAAATTTCGGGTAGCATATTTTAACGAAAATATCCCTTTTGACCGCTCTCGAATTCATTTGAACTTTATTTGTATGTTTTGAAGCGACATATGTATTTACGAACAGAATAAAAGGTTCTTTTTTCCAAAACAGGTTGTAAATTGATTTAAAATATTACATTCAGAATAGATTTGTTTTGTGATGTCTCTACGTACGTTACTACGTTGAAATGTTGTATATGGGACTACTATAATAACATCTAGTTATGCCCTTCCCTTTTTCGTTTCATATATATATATATATATATGTAATAATAAAAGCACAAGTAAAAGCCGGAGCAGTGTCGATGCGTGCTTAGATCCATATTGAAGAAGAATTTTGATTGCGTAGTATGCTAATAATGTTAACTTGGTAATATCTAAAGAACTTAGCAGTCGAGGCAGTTTTTATTCCATTTTATTTCCAGTTGATATTTGTGGCCACAATCAGTTGGCACTCTAGTCGTGCCTTTCCACAGGAGATTTACATTTTTGATTTGTTGAGATAAAAAGCAAGCCAACCAAATTACATCTTAGCACAGCAGAGAGCAAAGCTGAAGTGCGTAGTTATGCAAGATGGAAGCACGCGAAGAGAAAAGTTTTGGTTTGCAATTGGGTGATTGGTCAAGAGGCATCTGCATTAAGGGTTACGCAAGATCGCATGATTCATTTGAATGACGCAGTTTAGACTGAAACGCTGTTTTTAGAACAGATAGATGAAGTTCCCAAATGAAATAGAAAATAAAAGAGGTTATAGTGAATTAAATTTAGAAGTTTACTTTAATATTTTTTATCTATATGTTGGTAATTTGTAAAATTTTTGCTTTAAAACTGATTAAGCTATAGTATTCTTATGTTCCTTAAAAAGAATAACTAATCTAACCTACTGACTAACCTATACGAGGAGAGGTTTTCATGTGTTTATTAATCTATATGCAACAGTTGTAGAATTATAGAGAGTTTAAAAGCTTAAGTGGCGCTAGGCCTAACGAAGCCGTCATTTGTTCACATTTGAAGCTCTTAGTGGAATAGTGAATTAAGTCAGTTTGTGCACCAACTTCAGTGTCTTAACAGTGAGATCAAAAGTTAACACAGTGAGACTTAACTAGACCTACTAGACTACACAGTCAGACCTACTAGACTTACACAGTGAGACCAAAAGTTAGCTTTCAGTTTTGTGCACCGAAAATTTTGTGTTCAAGCCCGCTGACCGATTGCTTGTTCCTGAGTAAGAACTCTTAATTTTAATAGTAAAAATTGTTTTTATACTCTATTTGGTGTTTTATGTTTTTCTGTATTTTACGACTTTTAATGCAGATTGAGTTTTTATGTGTCTGCCATGCCTCGAAGTGAGAACTAAATTTATTAAATGAGAAATGTATCTCTAATAAAATTCGAAAATAAGTTTAAATGAAGTGCAGCAAAATATGTGTATAATTTAACATGCTGTACGAAGTCATACGGTGTCCACATCAGATATTTACTGTACATTCAATAACGAAATTACATTTGTAAATTCAATAACGAAATTACATTTGTAAATTCAATAACGAAATTACATTTGTTTTGGGATTTTGAAAAATTTTACGCCTCACCATATTTGTATTTAAAAAAATGTAATGTTTGATTATTTAACGTTTAAAATTCCTTATTTTTTTTAACAATCTTGTGAACTAGTTCCTGAAAACGAATAAAAATAACTTTGTTCTTTATATAGGAAATCTAGAATTAGTATGCAATGAAATGGCTTCAGCGCCTTAAAATTAAAACTGAATATTATAATTTTTCTGTTATTAAATCTTTAAATTTCCTATTATTAATGTATAAATTATAAATTTTATAACCTAAGTAAAAAATATTTTACGTGCCTGTAATACAGAGTTATGATAGTCTGAAGAACAGTTAAGATGCATATGCCAAAAGAAATCCTTCCTTTAAAGTTAAGACCGTAAAATTTCCCCTACAGTATTAAAACTTCTATAGTAATATTTTTAGAGGAAGTCTTAGAAAATTTAGTCTCCAAAGCAGTTGGTTTTTCCGCATCATAAATGCTTCACTGTATGTTTGCTTAGCTAATGTCATGTCTTAAGAATCTTAATTTATGTATTCAGCGTTTTGTTTTGGTTCTTCTTACCAACGCTCTTTCTCGAGTCGTATCCACCTGTTAATATTGATTACTGCATATCTAAACAGGGAGAGATGTTTTGTGATAATATATTACACCTGAAGTGTAGTGTTGTTAAAGATAAAATATCTGTAATAAAATATATACGGGTTTTAGAGAAAGATGAAATATGAAATACATTATTTTCGTGAATACTCTGCTTCTTTTACAACTAATGTATGAATTATTCATCAGACTTTTAATGGTTCTGGGTATCTGAAACATCTTTTTCTTTATTTGTAGTTTCTTTGGAAAATAAAATTTCATGTAAGTAGGGTGTTCTAACTGTAGTCCTGTGCTCCAACTGTCATATATTATGATGGTAAAAGATTTCCGTGCTTTTGTTTTCGTTAAATATGTATGGCAATTTCGGTAGATGCATTTATTTCTTTTTAGAAGCAGAACATATTTAATATCCGTTAATATCTGAAGCAGCTGTCTGATATAGTAAAATAAGTTTTAATAAATTTTTTGTGACAGTTAGAAAAGTAACTTAGGGATCTTGATTGATTAAGTTTTCTGGAGACCTGTCTATGCTGCATTATCTAACTGATGTAGTAATTCAGCATCTACATCAGTTAGATAATGCAGCATTTTAAGAATAAGGAAAGACGTTTTTTAGAGACGATAATGAAATAAAAGTGCTCTGATTGAAAATCAGTTCCCAGCACCAAGAAACAGTAGTGTTAGATAAACGAAATTTGGAAGCCGTGTTTGCACATTTGAAAGATAATATCTATTCAAATTTCGGATTAAGCGAATAAGTGTGGCGTTAGTAGCTCCACTGGGATCATGCAAATCACGTTTACTTTAAATACTTTTCGTTTGTTTATATATATTCTGGACTGTGCATTGAGTCAAGAAGGAGACAAAGAAGGCAATATCAGAAGTTTACTGGGTTTGAGTAAGGTCATATAATATGGCTGAGAGACAGTAGATTTTCGTTTCGCGGTATTACAGAAATTTATCCACTGTGCATGCGTGTTCGCAGCAGTGGTCATGGAAAAGTACCGTCTCAAGAGCGCTGGGGCATGATCTCAGTCGTGCCACCACTCAAATTGAAGACTGCCTTATTCGCAGCATGGCACTGCATCTGCAACAGACATTCGAACTTTTGTTGGCACAAGAGTGACAGAGCGAAATAGAACAAATCGAATACTTGAGGGACAGTTCCGATACAGACTACCTGCAGCGGCCATACGAAGAAGTCCAAATAACAACTATCTGTGAATTGGTCACCACAACCTGTGACTTCGTCCAAATCATCACCATCAGTGACTTGGTGGTGTCAAGGTAGAGCTCACTGAAGGGCAGAGCGGTCTCAGATGAGAGCCGTTTCTGTCTTGATGCCAATGATTGCAGTAGGTTAGTTAGAGGAAGGCCAACTGACAGCTCTGAACCAACCTGAACACGTTGGGCATAGTCTGGAAAGAAATTTCCTGTGATATCAGAAGCACTCTCATCGTTATTCCATACACCTTGAGAGAAAATGTATACGTCAAACTGGTGATTGCACCTGATGTATTGACATTCTTGAGGCACTATTCCAGTGGCATTTCCCAACACGATGATGCTCATTCCCATACTGCTGCTATTTCTCAACATGCTCTACTGAGTGTCGACATGTTGATTTGCTGTGCGAGATTACACAACATGTAGAGATATTACGTTATTTTTGATACTGGGAAACGTGAAAAATGTGCAATGCCGTCGCCGGAACACGAACATCTATCTCTCGAATACGCGCTGAGTGTGCTAACCGTTACAACAAGAAGGCATGCTGGAAGGAGGAAGAACAATTCTTTTTAAAGGGTGACCGGGGATTAGGAAACACGATCGCTAAATCCTGGTGGTGAAGAATCATCATCCAGCACCTTTCAGTTAGGGCTCCACTTTAGAGTCGATAGATTGTTTTAAAGTAGGAGATTTGAAAAATAACAAATGCCATCGCCGGGATTCGACCTCTCGAATACGCTCCGAGTCTGTTAACCGTTACACCACGAACGCATGCAGAAGGAAGGGAGAAAATACCTTATAGATAAATTCAATGTCATCTACAACCAACACGGCTGATTTAACTGAGCATGTGTATCAGGCATGTAAATATATCGCAGGAAATGACGTATGGGACCTGTACGACGCAATATATGTGCGTTTGCATGCTTGCTTTCAAAATACAGGCGTCTAAAGCGGTTATTAATGTACCACCATTTCATGTTTGAAATAGGTTTTCTCGTTTATATACTAGCTTGGGACCTTGAAACATTAATAACATAAATATGTAACATAAAAAAATGCTACAGTCTACATTTCATTACTCTAAACCGGTTTCTTCTTCGTGCTGGGATTTTATTTTCCATCAGTGTATTTGCTTGGATTCATTAGTACTACCCGTATACTACAGAATTGCTTAAAATGTTACCCTTGATGTAAAATGGATGGGCTTATTATGATTAATTACGTAAAGAACAGGAGATTTGTGTAACATTGGAAGTAGTTGACGGAGTAAAATGTGAAATCCGTTGGCATCTGTATATGCGGACAAAATAAAGAACTCTTTTTTATCCTAAACGATTGTAAAATGGCTTTAAAATGGATTCAGAAGAGACATTTTTCGTGACTTTCGAATGTACCTGGCATAACTCAAAAACGAGTAGTTGTAGAATGTTGGAAATTTTGTATGAGACTTCAATAGCACCGAGTTGTACATCTCCCTTTTTTCTTACAATCGCACGCAGCAAGCGTACATAAATATATATTCTCATTCTGTTAAACCCATCTCAGTGAACTCAGTACTTTTATTCTTATATGTTAGTAAATTGTGCATTTTTTGCTTTAAAAATGATTTAATTATGTTTTTCTTATGTTCCGGGTAAGGTTTTTCATGCCTTTAGTTAATCTGCACACAATGGCTTTAGAATTAAGAATAATTTAAAATTTGAAATGGCGCTAAGCCTAACGAGACCGCCATTTGTTTACATTTGTGTCTCTTAGTAAAATAGTGAATTAAGTCAGTTGGTGTACCAACTTCAGCGTGTTTTTACCCAGTGGGACCAAACCTTAACTTTGAATTTTGTGCATCAGAAATTTTGCTTCCCTGCCCGTTGGCCGAATTGCTTGGTTTTGCAAAACTCTGTTGAAACTCTGTTGTTTTTTTAAACTGTTTTAGCTGTATTTGGTGTTTTAGTTTTTTTTTTTTTTTTTTTTTTTTTTTTTTTTTTTTTTTTTTTTTTTTTTTTTTTTTTTTTTTTTTTTTTTTTTTTTTTTTTTTTTTTTTTTTTTTTTTTTTTTTTTTTTTGCCTTTTAGAATTTTTGATGAAGAAGTTTTGAGTTTTTATGTACTTTTGTCTTGCCGCGAAATGAGAACTGAACTGACTGAATGAGAAATAAATTTCTTAAGAAATTCGAGGAATTTAAGGTTTAAATGAAGAGAAAAATGAAGGGTTTAAATGAATGGTTAAAAGTTTAAATGAAATGCAGCAAAAAATAATTTATATTTTTTTTTGCTGTTAGGCCGTGCACCAATATTTTTAATACTGGAAAATGTAACAAATGATAATACGATTTTACTTTAAAAAAAAGCAATTAATGTTAAAGAAGTGCAAAATTAAGAGGAACCACTGACGAATTCTTTTCCACGTAATTGCATATTCTTGCATAGCATTCTAATAATGGTAAATTTAAATGAAAGTTTACGTGAAGGATAGGATGGTTATTACTGCTTTAGAATCATTTATAAATTCAGAATTCAGCCAATATCTCTCATCTGAGATTCTAGCATTTCCTGCGGCATCGAGCCTCTCATAGCCTTAGCATGTCATAGAAAATGACATTGATAAGAAGATAATGACTATTTTAAATGGTCAATAATAGCTTCACGAAAATGTGTTCATTCACTAACTTCAGGACATAGCTTGATTCATCCGCGGAGAAGCAGTTATTTGAGAATAATTGTGCAACTTGAATTAATGAGACGTTTGCCTGCTTTCTAACGAGGCAGTGCTTCATGCCATGATTCGATTCTCTATCCAATAAGATTGCTGGTATAAAATTTTTGTTTGATATATTTAATCTGAGTAACTCGAAAATTCGAAAATATAGAATTATCCCATTTGTTTTCCCCGCAGTGTACGTATGAAAGTATACCGCGTAATTCGAAAACGATTAGCCGTAGAAGGTTGAAATTTTGTGTATGTGATTGCTGTAATATTACGTTGTGCACCTCTCTTTTATTGCAATCGGCAGTACCAAAATATATACACGCACCCTCTTATCCGGTCTTTATTTTCGCAATCACTGGTCGTAAACATTCATGTCTAATTAAACAAGTGTTTTAAATGATGAAAATATTCATGTTTTGCTAGCGTAAAATTAAAACAAAAATGAGTTTTGGGCATAGAACAAAATTTAACTTTTAATGCGGTTTGCCGTTTCCTATACTTAAGGAAATTTTACATTCGTTATGAAAAAGTAAAATTATGAGAAGTTTGACTCTCGCATGGCAAAAATTGACCAGGATATATAATTTCCAATTTAGCAGTTTTATGTCTTTTTCAGCTTTCCTTGAATCGTAATCGATTCAAGGAAAGGATTTTAAGTGAAACTACTTTGAGGAAATAACTTTAAATGGTACTTCTTTATTATTCCAGGCCCCCAACCATACTTTGCTATTTTCGATTTGCGCCAAGATATCGGCTATAATTTCGCCAAGCTCGTGAAGCGCGAATATAAAAATAAATACCACAATATTTAATAATAAATATGCTAGGTTACAATATTTTTAAGAAGCCTTATCCTTATATCGTATGTAATTGTTCCAGTCATCTGCAGCAGTTTCACACATATTAAGCTATTCTGCGATACCATTTCATGGACGTCAGTTTCTCTGCCCAAGAATATATAAATCTGATAGCAGTGGGGATTGATATTCTGGAACCGTTGACCAATTTTCAAAACGAAGGCCGTTCTTTTTTTAATATTTAACACTGCAACTCTAGTAGTTTCGTCGTGAACATAGATTTTTTTGTTGTGGCCATTTTCGCATATTTATTTGTCGGGTAAAAAATATCTTTCTTGAAAAAGATGACGTGGTATCCACCTCATTACTTGGTAAATTAAAGATTGTTGATGTCATATTCACACACACAAACAAACAAACAAACAAAAAAAAAAAAAAAAAAAAAAAAAAAAAAAAAAAAAAATTTTTAAAAATAAACAATGCGAATTCGAAATCTTATAAAAATAAACAACATAAAGACACGCGGGGAGAGCAAAAATGCAATACGGTGCTAATATACGATTGATTACGTGGCGAGATCTAAGAACACACAGCCAGATTTTGGCGAGATATCTAGGTTGATTGGCGATTCAATCTCGGGCGCCGCTGTAACAAAGAAGTACCGTGTAAATGAAATGCAGAAAAAAAAAAAAAAAAAAAAAAAAAAATCTGATGTGTACACCACATGACTTCCTTGTACGGAATATTAAATTATATGCATTTTTTCTTGCATTTCGTTTAAACTTATTGGATTTATTTAAATCTACTTCGCCTACAGCGCATAAACCACAATAGAATAAATGCATTCTTTAAAATTCACTCTAGTATTTGTTTAACATACCGACACTCTGGCGCCAGATTCACTTAACAGTATTATATTTCGTTCATATTATAACTCATAATGCACAAAATTTATATCATTTAAAGAAAAGAATTATCTAATCGTTGCCACTAGAATGATGTATAAAAGAAATTAAGCAAAGAAAACAAAAAAGAAACAGTTTTTCTCAGACGATTGAGTATTTCTCATTCAATTTATTCAGTTCTCACTTCGCGAGAAGGAAAAAATACGTAAAATCTCAAAATATCTATATTAAAAATTACGAAGTAAATATTAAACACTTATTTCCTCGAAAAAATTCCAGAAAGGATTAAGCATGATTTGATTGGCAATAATAAATGAAGGAATTATCTTTGTTGTTGCGAAGCTAAGTTTCTCTAGATTAGCAACAAATCCACTAGTCTGCTGTTTCAAATGTGAACAATCAATGGCCGCCATAAAAAAGGCTTAGCGGCACTTAAACAACTTTAAAATTGTTGATAATTCTAAAAATATTGCACACAGATTTACTAAAGGCATAAAAACCTTAACCGGAAGATAAAAAACAACATAATTCAATCATTTTTAAAGCAAAAATTGTACAATTTTACAAACATATAAGAGTAAAGAAACTGAGATCACTGAGCCGGGTAACAGAGTGGATATATATATAAATATATATTTATATACGTTTGGTGCGGCCGATTGCAACCAAAATACGAGGTGCACATCTACATGTTATAGCAGTCCTATATACAAAATTTCAACGTTCTGAGGCTACTCGTTTTGAGTTATGCGAGATACGTACGTACATACGCTTCGTACAGACGCCACGAAAAATTCTCTTCAGAATTAATTTTAAAGCAGTTTTATAATTTTTTTGCAGGAAACGAGTCTTTTATTCTGTCCTTACGTACAGATATCACGCAAAAGCATCGTTAAATTGCATTCGATAGCGGTCAAAATGGATATTTTCGTTGAATTATGCTGCCTGAAACTTTTCGCGATTACAATACTTCCTTTTTACTTCGTACAAGGAAGCAGAAACACTGCATCATACACGTAATAATGTGTATAATACACATGTAACAATAATATGTATTATTACACATGTTATTACACGTGAAATGGCGCGTATTGACCAAATGATACAAGTTGTTACGACAACTTTTACTTTAAACAAACAATTATGTATCAAATTGTTGAAGTCATAAAAATCCACGGAAATATTCCATAAATTTTAAATGTTTCGGCACGCAGGATTGCCAGTTATTTCATTGCATTAGCAACCTCTAAGCAGTATTAAATCTTAGAACAGCCATCACTTTTTATTCTAATATCATATTATTTCGTTATCAGAACTTTGATAACTCTAGCGTTTCGTTATCAAAGCTTTGCTAGCTTTGAAATTCTGAATCTTTCTCATAATCCTTTTCTCTTTTAGTACTGACTTGTTCCTGTATGCTGTACACCGCGACACGAATGACATAGTGGACACGGAAGTATTACTAAAGTAAGTTGCTAAGTTTAGCGTGTAATTTTCTTCACAAATGTTTCTTGTTCAGTGTCTACTGACTTTTATAGAAATACTGGTGTTGAGCATACTGAAGAAATGACACAATGAATCATTTTTTTCCTTTCTTTCTTGTAGTGCTTTGGAACAGAGATCCGAACTAATTGTGTCCAACTTGGATAATTTCAATATTGTTCGAATTCAGGGAGTATCCGTTCAGGAGAAAATAAGTCAGATGGGTACCACAGAGATAGCTATCATTGCTCTTAGCAGTGTCATCTTCCTCGGAGCGGTGTTAGGTATAGCTCTGCTATGCTCATCTTGCAAGAAAAGGTAAATTTAAAGGATTGTTTCTCTTTATTATAAATTATTAAGTGAGTTAGACTCGGTATCAGGATATTACCTTGAATGGTGAATGTTATTTGAATTTTGGAAAAATTGAAGGAAATGCATGTAAACGAAGCGCAGGAAAAAGTTTGGATAATTTAATAAGCCGCACAAGAAAGTCATGTGATGTACATATCGAATTTTTTATTTATGACTTTTCATTTCTCATATATATATATATAGAGAGAGAGAGAGAGGGAGAGAGAGAGAGAGAGAGAGAGGGAGGGAGAGAGAAATACAAATATTTTTTTAAAAGGAAAATTTATAGTCCTTCCAAACATTTTCGCGCATTATGCGGCTGAAACTTGATCAGTAAATATAAAAAGAAAGAAATTTAGAACCAATTTTTCACAAAGAACCAAATTTGAAATTCAGAACTTATAAATTTCAAAAATTCCTAAAAATGTACAAAAGAAGAATTTAACAAAAATGTTAAAACTAAAATTCTTCAAACAAGTAAAACCCAAATTTAAAAAAAAACAGACGAAAAGAAAATGAAAGAGGAGAAGTCCAATCAATTTCAATGCCACTTCATGAAGAGGAGGAAACATTGAAACCAATCAAAATCTCTCTTTCGTAAAATATCCTTGTTTTTCTGTATTCAGAATTAGCTGCTGAACATTCCAATGTAGTTTAATTATAATAGTTCACCGAAAATTCTGGCCCCTCTGCAAAGCGAAGAAAATGGCAAAAGTACAAACATTAAAAATATCTTCCATTAAAAAGATTTTTCTAATCTAAAATGAATCTTAAATAAAAATGAAAACTTATCCTTAAAATGTAGAAAAAATTAAAATTCTACAGTGAAAAAAAATCTTTGAAATTTCAAAATAATAACACAAAACTTTGCTAGAACCTCCTATCAAACATAAGTGAAAGCGAAGGAAAATGGCAAAAATACAAAGTAAAATATTAAAAACATCTTCCAATTTAAAAATATTTTATTAATCTAGAAAGAAATTTTAATAAAAATGAAAATTTACCCTTAAAATATAGAAAAGATTAAAATTCCACGGTTAAAAAAATCTTCGAAATTTCAAAATAACACAGAATTTTTTCAGAAAAGAACTGATCAACATCAGTGGGGCAATGTAAAAACCGTTAGAAAAAATATGAAATTCTGAATCCGTTTTGAAAGTTAATGCTTATGAATTTAAATTTTTGGTCTTTGTGAATAACTGGATATAAATTTCTTTTTTTTTATATACTCGTATATATATATATATATCATTCAGTGGGTTTCAAAACAAAACACTTCCAACGACTTCTGAAGAATTTACTATTGAAGAAAGAGCCGAATAAAATTTAAGAACCTGCGGTTCGAGATATTTACAGCGTCTTGTGACATCTCTGAAAATGGTTCTCAAGAAAGATCGGTAGTGTTGTTTCGTTTCGCTTCCGCCTGTTCAGCGGAAAATAGAGAGATACAAATTATTTATCAATCGTCTCTTGAACTCTTCGTCGTGGATATAGAGCCTTTGATGTGGCTGCTTTCGATACAGTTTCGAGAGATTTACGATTTTGCTTACGTGGTATATTTGGAGACTAAGGAGAAATGGACGTGATATATTTAGATGATATTTCTATTTCTGTATCACAGCTATATCATTAAATATAGCACGTTTCGTATATGAGACCGCATAAAGTCATTTTTGAAGAATATGTTACCAAACAGAGGGAAAATATGCAGCCGGCGTTATTTATTATCATTATGTTTCATTATTTTTAAATTAGAATATTTTTATTAAAATTGTGTTTGTAATGAAGGTTTAGAAAGTTTCAGATTATCACTGGGTGTAATTAGCGGGAAAGGACAGAGAATTTATATGAAAGCAGCAGAATATTTTCTTTATGTTTGACTTCTTTAACTGGTTAATTTGGTAGAGTTTGAAAATGACATGAAATATACTGATAAAATCAAGGCAAAGTACCCAGAACTAATCCTAATAGTAACATAAATCAGTTAACTAATATATATATAGTGTTATTTTGTAAGATATTTTGAATCTCCTTACCGCCTGACTTCGTGGTGTAACTGGAAGCCAACTTAACATAGGGAAGTCCGAAGTTCGAATGCTAAAAAGAGCATTATTCATTTTTTTGGCTTCCTGCTTTCAAAAGAATTTCAACTAGTTTTTCAGTAGCGCCGGAACTAAGAATGATGTGGACGATAATTTGTTCCTATCAGGAATTGGGGATTGGACTTTTGCCTTCACAGCTGAACATTAAGTCGAAGAGAATGTAAGGTATTTTCCTCCTCCTTACCGCGTTGCTTCGGGGTGTAATTGGAAGCACCTTCGGCTAGTAGTTCGGAGTTCCGGGATTCGAACCTTGGCAAGGGCACTACACATTTTCATGCTTCCTACTCCGAAATAAAACATCTAATAATCTCTATAATTTTAAGAAAAATAGGCGAAGAGTAATTTTTTAAACTTATAGAAAAATTATTCTGTTTAACTTCACATATCAATTCATTTAAATGTTCATTTGATTTCGAAAAAAATCGCACGATTTCTTACAATAAAATCATTCTTAGCAATTCTGCAATAGATAAAAAACTGAATATTTTTGAAAATCTGACAGCATTGAGAAATATTTTGGAATTTTTGAAAGACTTGTGTAAAGATTAAAATTTTGAGAAGATTAGTTTGACCGTTAAAACATTTTTTTTAGAAAAATTCAACTCTAAATTAAAAAAAAAAAAGAACGGTCTATATCGGATTTAAAAACTTTCTGTAAACCATTATGTGGTACGTGATGAAAATAAAAAGAAAAAGTCAAAAATTAATTTCAAGTTTGACCCAAACAAGCAAATGTAGGTTACAAAATATTTACGTACGTTACAAAACGTATTTAAATCAATTTATTGGTTTAAGAAGTATGCATTGCTTAAAATCTTTCTCAAGTGTATTTCATCACTAAGTTTATAAATAAAGGTCTCATACATAGTCAAGCAACGTCTTGTATTTGCTCATAATTACCTTGAACGTGACCTTCTCTCTTAACTAGCGTAATCCGCAAATAATTTAGCTGACTTGTCTGAATGTTATCTTATTATGTTAGCTTAGATCAACAAAACAGGGCAATGATAGTTAATTGATGTCATCCAATTCTTCTTCGTTAGCATTCTTCCTCATTTTACCTGAATCTTTGTTCCCCATAGAAATTTCTTATCACTGAATTTATCCTTGTGTTGCCCCACGTTATTTATATATCTTATCACAGTGTCTAGAGGCTTGTGACAAATGTCCAGCAGACCCTACTAGACTTGAAAGCGAGTTATTGGTTTAGTCTGTAATAAATGATAAAAGCCTTATTCAATTTTTAAATGCCTGTGCGGCATTGCTTGGGTGCGTAAGCAAGTGAAAGGCACTGCTTTTGTGTCAAATGAACCTCCACTGCTTGTGGATATTTAAATCAACATTAGATAACATTAAATTCAAATGTACGTAAAGCAGTCTGAGACTACACTCCCCCCCATGGAATACTTAAGCTGGCTCAAAATACTTAACGGCACGTATTTTAAGCGTCGGCTAGGAAGTTGCTAAAGCCGGAATAACTGTGACAGAACTGGCGATGCTAAGTGAAAGCAAGACGAAGTTGTCGGAAGCTCTAAACATTTCAACCCTCAATTTTTAAATATAAATAATTAATTTAAATATAAATAATTAATTAAATATAAATAATTAATTTGAATTTTGTTGAAGACTATGAAAACAAGCATGTTCAAATCATACCTGATTGATTAATATGAAACGTAATAAAAGTATTACAGCAGTTAAAGATGTTGCTGTAGAATAGTAGTTATGGATTTAGACATGAAATTCTTCCCTATTTAGCTAGACTCAAGTTTTGTTTAAACTCTCTCTTTCATGAAATTAAGAAATTTTCCCCCAAATGGCTAGTTTTATTTGTTCCATGTGACTAGAAAGTAAGTTTTATTTGTTCCATGTGACTAGAAAGTAAGCTTTATTTGTTCCATGTGACTCGAAATTTGTTTGTTAAGAATTAATTAAGAACAGCTTAACTCTTTTGTTGTTTAACTCTATATTCGCCACGAACGTTGCCTAAAATTTACTGCAAAGGTACCAATGTTAAGGGGTTATCACATCTAGCGACGGTCCCTACCAGACGGGACTTTTCTGAGAAACAAGATACTGGTAGTACTGGTTTCCTAGAAAAAAGAGCCCCGCTGGAAGCGAAGTCCCGCCTAGCTACGGAAACGATGTACCGGCTACGCGGGATTTTTTGAAACCTCGCCGAAAATGTTTCGGCTGCAGCTTTGTCTCGGTTAAAGATCAACCAATCAGACGAAAGTTCTGCTTCTGAAAGATAACGTGATCGCAATCTGAGCGATTATCGATACTGTTTGGCGTTCAAGTCTGTTTAGTAAGTAAAAATGGTAACCTGGCTACGTAGGTTTCGTGGAAATGTGCGGGTTCTGAGAATTGTCCCATTCGACGTTCCGTTCCTCGTAGCGGAAACAAATGTGATTGGGACTTTACATACTCGAGAAGGCGGAAAGGCGCACAGAACAGCTAAGCCTTACGTAAACATCAAATACACACTTTTGGTTTGGGGCCAGTGGCCAGCCTCAGATAACCATTATACCATCTATAGCTATGACCATCAGTAAGCTATGACCTGAGGTTCAACCCATTTAATAATTTCAAGTGACCCACTTGAATTCCAAAAATAAAGTATAATATATAGAAATATATTATAAAACACTGTTTACAGGCATGATTGCCTGGCCACCCACCTGCATAGCATAGGCATTATCAAGCGATCCTATTTGCCCACTTTGTGATTCTGAAGAAATGGCCAGAGACCATCTGCTCCAATGTGTGGCTCTTCGTGCTCTTACAGAAGAGTCGAGGTAATGGGAGTACGAACGTTCTTTAGGCAATGACTTTGGTCTTTTTGTTCCTAGTTCTATCGCTTGC